CATCGACTTCATTGTAGACCAGGCTATATCCTGCTATAAAGCAGTGTTTTGAACACTAAATCATAAAACTGAACATCTGTGAGTGAACATCTGAGAATGATAGCACTAGCAAATCTTGCAGCACTGTATGTAGTACATATCACTAACAAGAAGATGTACAAAAAAAAAGGACAGTTGTAAGTGCAGTTTGTCGTAACTCAAATATGTCTTAAGTCAGGGACTATCTCTATTTGAAAGCCAGGTCCTCTGACTCCAAAAATTATTCTCTTTTTTCCTATATTCTCTTCTGGAGCAACCACTGGAGCCTGAGCTCAGTTTGGAGTCTGGGCTACATAGGAGAAAGTCACATCTCACTTCATCTGTGCCTGAAGTCTGCACAGTCGCTTTATATGGGTTATGATCACTTTATATTGGTTATGATTTAGCACACATAGATAAGCTTTCCATAATGAACCTAGGGTTTCTAGAATAGTTTCTTATTGCTGCCTAGAATTATATCACAAACTTAGCAACCTAAAACAACACGCATTTCTTAGCTCACATTTTGTAGGTCAGAAGTCTGACATGGAGTGGCTGGAATCTCTGCTCAGGTTCTTACAAGGCTTAAATCAAATGTGTTGGCCTACATGCATTCTCACTGAGAAGCTCAGAGTTCTCTTCCAAGCTCATGTGGCTGTGGTAGGATTCAATTTTTTGCAATTACAGAACTGAGGTCCCTGTTCCCTTGCTGGCTGTTAGCCAGGAGCCGGCTCTCTGCTCCTAAAGGTTGCCCACATTCTTTCTCACATGATCCCCTCCAAGTTCAAGCTAGCAAATGGCAGGCTGACTCCTTCACATCCTTTGAATCTCTCTAACCTCTTCTGTCACCAACCAGAGAAAACTCTAGCTCATATATGTAGGGTCAGTATGAGTCGGAATCGACTCAATGGTAGTGGGTTTGGTGATTAGATCGGCCCACTTGTATACTCCCCCTACCCCCCATCTTAGAGTCAATTGTACCGTATAGCATGGTACATAAATCACGGGAGTGAAATTTTATCATATTCACAGATTCTGGGGATTGGGGTGAGAAATCTTGACAGGGAAGTTTAGAATGCTATCTACCATAGTGTCTTTTCTTTTGCAATATAGCTCAAAACTTAAAGGCATGGATATTGGAGACAGACTGCCTGGGCTCAAATCCTAGCTTCAACATTTACTAGCAATACAAACTTCGGCAAGTTACTTACCTGTTAGTCTCTTAATTTTCCTATCTGCAAAACAGGTGTAATAAAAGTATGTATCTCATCAAGTCACTGTAAATTTTAAATGAGTTAGTGTGCTCAGAAAAGTACTTGGCACATGGTAATTAACATGTTGGTCTTTGCTACTATTATTTTGATCTGATTATTATATATACACTAATTTAGAGTCTTAGGGGCAGACGCATTATCTGACTTTTCTTGGTCTTAGCTTCTCTGTAAATTTTAGTACTATAGAACTGTCAAAATCATAATTTATAATAAGAAGTTTTTTGTTTTTTGTTTTTTTTAATTTTGAGAGTCTTTAACCCACAGGAAAAACCAAAGGATTTGTTCAAGTGAAAAAAAAAAAAAGTAGTTTGTGGGATTATTTTTTAAGTGAGGGAAACATAGCAGATTCAGTTAACTGGATTATAACATTGAGAATAGGAACACAGAGCCTACATTAGCACAATACTCATTTTTAAATGTGCTTTAATTCCATGTCATGATCAAAAGAAAAGGAATGTGAAGAGATAGGAACAGAAAGCTTAGGGAGGACATAGAGTGTTCAAGGAGATTGAAGGAAAGGTAGAAGGGAAGAGAGGAAAAGGAATAGAACTTCATAACAATATAGATTACTAGAGAAAAAGAGAAAAAAACAGAGGCAAAAGGAGAGTAGAGACTACCAAGAGGTAGAGAGGGGAAGAGAGGAGAAAGGGGGAAATATTGCTAAAATGTATTGAGCACCAGCTGAGCAGTCTTGCATAGCTAGGGACTTAAGTTATCTCACTGAATCCTTAGAACAACTCAGTGCAGTAGTATTATTGTTACCATTTTACAGATGAAAAAACTGTGACTAAGAGAGCTTGAATAACTAGTCTAAGGTCAATTATGTTAGTGCACAGTAAAGCAGACATTAGAAACTAGATCTTTCTAGACCTCAGTGTGATATGCTGCTCCCATATCCTTAAGGACTAATGGTGAGATAAAAGATGCTCCTTATAGCTTGGTGGTCCCGCCTCAAACAGTGTTCCTGCCACAGTGAGAAAAGACTTCTTACAGGCTCAGAGCTTGGGCACTTCTTAATACTACCTTAGAATGTTAATTATTTGAGTCAGGACATTTGGATTCTAGTTGAAGTGGAGCCTCAAATGATTTATGCCTCAGGGTAAGTCACTCTTCTGAGCCTCAATTTCCTCATCTGTAAAACAGGCCTTGGACTAGATATGGTTTTCAATCAATTGTTATTCTTCAACTCTTAGAAGTCCCCAGCCATTCAAGTACATGGCAGGAAGCAGTACACAGGAAACAAATCTCAGCATATAAGCAAAGAACTACCGAAACGAAGTGGAGACCCAACAGCTATCTTCACATAGGCAGACAGTTGTAATGTGTATTGAGTATTGTAATGTGTACTGTAATGTGTATTGAGTATTGTAATGTGTACTGTAATGTGTATTGAGTATTGTAATGTGTACTGTAATGTGTATTGAGGAGTAGGTTTATGTTGTTGCTCCCGTTTGGGCCACTGCACAGGATTTTGCAGGCCGTTCGTTGGACAGTCTTAGGAGGTGATATGCACATACATGGTCATAGGCCGTGGCCCTGGCTCCACGAAGCCAGAACAAGGACCAACGGATAGAAGTCAGAAACAAGATAATTGTGGATTAATAGAAAAACAGCAAATATTGTAATGTTCACAGATGCACCTTAATGTTGAGAAAACTCTGCCTTTGGGGGTTTTTAGGCAGAGACCAGAGGAGGTAGAAGGGAATCTACCACTGAATGAGAATTTAGAGAGTGCTCAAGTGACATTCAGGACCCTGGTTTTTCAATGTGTTCTAAGTCAGTTGAGTGATCTTATTAAACTCCTTAAGACTTCATTTCCTGAGCCACATTATTAGGGCTAGGATAATAGTACCTACCTCATATGACTGTTTTAAGTATATAGGAATTATATGTGTCTAATTCTATACATCTGTCTATCTATCATCTATGCACAATGCCCACACATAATAAATGCTCAGTTGTTAAAAGTTATCATTATGATTATTCTTTTTACAATTATTGCATAAAGCTGCCAGCATGGCAGAACTTCCCTTTTCCTCCATAGGCGTGAGGCTGCCACCCATGCTTGCAGGCAGAGAATGGTGACACACTAAATGCTACTTGTCATCTTTAATTGTGGCATAAGCTCCTAATATAAAGTCCGTTCTACCTCAGGCTTAAAGTTAGAATTTGGCTAGGTAGGTCGCAATCATCCCTTTAACTTCTGAATTTCCCCCTAACGATTCTATTTCCAAGCTTTACAAATGCAGTTTCTCCACAGTCCAATGCTAGCAAACACCATTTCCACTATGACTCAAAGAATAGCCTCTATTTCACTCTGCATTATGAATATCTCCTTCCTCAGAAATTAATTGAGTCAATTTAGCTTAGAAATTCTATTGTCGAAAAGCATGTGTTTCCTGTGGGAATGTCATTCTTTGCTTCTTTTCTTGTTGATAGAAGCAGATGTACCTGAAAAAAAAGTAATTCTCCTCTACAAGCTACAAACATGCAGCTGTCAAAAGTAATCACTGCATCAGAACAAGTGGATAGGGAGTGAGTGTCCTTGTGTGCTTTATAAGAAAACAGTAAACCAGCTTACTTATAGTTAATGAAACAAACAGACTGAGGAAGGGCTATGCAGCTTACGTTTCTGCGACTTATACCACATTCCTCAACACCATTCTATGCAAGCTGAAGTCATTCTTACGTACAGGACTTTGTGCTATCTCCCTCCTCCCCTGCTATTAATTTTTCCTAGTTCCTCTTCTCCATTTTATTCATTTATTCATTCAGAAACTCATTCATTCACTCACAAGAATTTATTGAGCCACTTCTATATATGTAACTGCTTGGCCTGTGGTGATCTACAATCTAGTCACAGTGCTAAAATGATATTAGGGCATGTTTTAATTCCACAGAAAAATCGCCTCTAATTTTTCCAATACATAATGCCCTTCAGCGAGTGTTTCTACCTCTCGTAACATTTTATAGTATTTACTGATTGTCCCATGTAGGTGAATCTTATTTCCCCAAATAATTGTGAGGTTCTTTAAGAGAGGATCCTTGGCCCAGGGAGCTATGACTGTAACTGAGCATTATCCGGCTCAACTCCGCCTATTTAACCTCATTATGCATTCTTATTCCAGATCAAGCTGGTTTCCAATATACTCTTTCTCCTTTTGTGTCTCGGCTCAGATGTATAGGGTTCGTGAAATCTTTACTATCATTTAACTCCCAGATGGGAATTTGCCTAGGGAAGTTTCTCAGACTTCAACTGCCCTCTCTTCAAACTCCTACAGAAAGCCCTTATAAGTTGTTGCTGAATCCATGAACACATATAGCATCTATAACTTTGCATTATTTGCTAATGCTATTTATAGTGTATCATTTTCTCTATCACTGTACCATTTGCTCATGGGTTCACATTATTCTTCTTTCCAACTAGACTGCAGGCTCCGTGAAAACAGAAGCCGTAACTGCTTCTCTTCCTCACAGTGCCTGGTCCAGTGCTGAATGTGGTAGTCACCAACAAGCACCTATTAAATACTGGTAGAAATTCAATAAGTAACAAGAGATCTACAAAGTCATTACCGAAAGCTTGCTTTGACAGTATTCTCTTTTCGAGTACTGAACTTTTGTAGAATTATTATTCTACAAAGGTACAAACGTGTCTTATTGATACGGCAGATTTACTTTCCAAATAATTCTAATGTCTCAGATCTTTACCTGAGTCTGCCATCCTCTGCTGCAGCACCTCCTGGTATAATCTTCGTAATAAATATGCCAGGGTCATCTCCAATGTGGGGATTATCTGTCCCTCCAGCAATACTGAATCCCAGACCAGAATTCCCCTGTGGAAACGATAAGTAGACATTAAATGATGTAAATGTCACCGAAAACCTAGTTCCCCTGGCACTCTGTGTTATCATCTTACTACTCAAATGGAAATCAAGTGATAGCAGTCTTGTATGCAAACCCATAAAGTGCACTGTCAGCATAAAGACAAGGTCAGGAAGAACACTCAACTCATCTGTCCCTGAGTTGCAAAAATTCAAGAGGTCTTACATTTTTGCTTTTAAAAAATACTTCCTTTATGCAGCAATTAAAGCGATCATTATGAAGTGGGGGGTGGGGGGAAGCTCACAAATTGTGTAACGTGAAAAATGCAAAAAGCCCTTCGGGTGAAAATTATAAAAGTAATACATTCATATGAAAAAGAAATATAAAAATAATACATTCATATGAAAAAGAAATACAAGTTACCTGTAAATATTTGATTTGAGAGAGTAGTGAAATTTAGGTGTTTTCATTTTGTTATTTCTGGTATTGTTCTAATATTGCTTATCCGTAAAATAAATGTGTTTCTATATAACAAAGAACTTTAACTTCAAAAGACGGGACTTTCTTCTACAGTCATAATGCATATGAGACACTTTTCAACAATAAGCAGGCTTTAATTTGCAATAGCTATAAATCAGGCGTGTTATACAGCTACAGCATATAAATTTCAGTAGTTCATAGTCTAATAAACCTTTTGTACTTACTCCTGCAGATTATATTAATTGACACACAATGTACATATACTCAAAAATTTCTGTGTAAGCTATAATTGAAAGTCCCTCCAAAATTCGCAAAACGTCTTACTTAACAAACCAGTTGTTTATTACCTACATATTTCCTTTTCATCTCTATCGTCATGGCTACATTGTTTCCACAGTTGTGTTCTGATTTTTTTTCCCCAATTCGTATTATATTTAAGCCCTTTTCATACAACTAGGTTGACTTTATAGTTCTTTAAAATGGCTGAGGAAATTTCATCAGGTTAGATATCTTCATTTATTTAACTAGTCTCTTGCCATTGGGCATTTAATTTCTCTATTTATTCTTACAACAAATATAGCTTACTAAATTTGTGACCACTGATCAATTTCAGTAAGAAGATATGAGAACTAATAACTTAATATTTAATCTAGAGAAATTAATTAGGGCACTTAATTAGTCAGAAAAGTTCAATGTCCAGATATGATCAGCTATAACTTAACAGTTATACCACTGCAAATGTCAAGGTACTGTTCAGCAATTTTTATTGACTGAATTTAATAAGACTCTGAATTCCATGGGGTTGTTTTTACAACTGTACATTTATGTTAAAAGGTTGAAATTTATAAGTCAGCCATGGCAATAAAGTCTCATGTCCTTATGCTTCTGACTTCTTCTCTAATTCGGTTGTTCCTTGAAAAATTCCAAAGTTCACTGAACAGAGATCTTGCTTCTTAGCAGTCACATAATTATGAATTTATTTAATATTTATAAAGCATTAATCCTGTGCCTGGCACTGTACTAAACTCCGTGGGCTTCAGCAGTGAATGTATCAAGTTATAAGGCGGAAGCAGAGAGTACAGGAGCAGCTAACAGGGGAACCTAACAAAGGGACTTTCCCAGAAGGATGAATAGCAGTCAGATACTTGAAAGGGAGAGAGGGTGGGAGTCCAAGAGGGGGACAGAATGTTCCAGGCAGAGGGAAGAAATATATAAAATCTCTCCTGTGAGAAAGAATATACCAGGTCCAAGGAACAGTCAATAAAGCTGGAACAAAGACAGCAAGGAGAATTGGATGAGATGAACCTGAACTCATGAGGTGATTAGAGCAGAGTGTACGTCAAGTCATTTTAGGTTTTAAGTACCTACTGACACCAGATGACTGTATCAGTACTGGCTGAGTATTTCCTATGTGGCTGACTCTAAGTTTAGGGACTATTAAACCCTGACAACTTCTTCCTTCATAAAACTCCAGTCATAGCATAAAAGGCAGTGATAGTGTCTTAGTCATCTAGTGCTGCTCTAACAGAAGTAGCACAAGTAGATGGCTCTAACAAAGAGAAGTTTATTTCCTCACATCAAGGTAGGCTAAAAGTCCAAATTCAGGGCTTCAGCTCCAGGGGAAGGCTTTCTCTCTCTGTCGGCCTTCTTCTTTTCAGTGTTCCCCCGGACTAGGAGCTTCTCTGCATAGGGGCCCCAGTCCAAAGGATGTGCTGTGCTCCTGGCACTGCTTTCTTGATGGTATGAGGTCCCCAACTCTCTGCTTGCTTCCCTTTCCTTTTATCTCTTGAGAGATAAAAGGCGGTGCAGGCCACACCCCAGGGAAACTCCCTTTAGGTTGGATCCGGGATGTAACCTGGGTAAAGGTGGTGTTACAATCCCACCCTAATCCTTTTTAACATAAAATTACAATCACAAAATGGAGGCCAACCACAGAATTCTGGGAATCATGGCCCAGCCAAATTGATACACACATTTTTGGGGGGACATAATTCAAACCATGACAGATAGTCTTACAGCTGGTGTCCAGTACATTTTCAATATAAAACCTCAACTGTATTGTTACATATGCAGCCACTGAGGTAGCATTCAGGTGACTTAACAGGCAGTTTCCCTAAGATGCAGAAGTTTTGGAAGGGAAGGATGGGAAGATGGGTATTTTTATATAATGAGTCTGACTCCAAGAAAATCGACCAGATTATATTGGTCTTACTAGTGCTGGGACCTTAGGGATAATAATTGATTGATTAATGGGGGTGGGTAAAGAGGCAAGCAAAGATGGGGAGATACCCAAATGATTTCTCCTGACAATATCAATGTGTTTGGAAAGGGTATTGAAACCTTGTTATTTGAGAAAGATATTCATGATCTATATCTTATCGTTATCTCCTGCTATTTCTAGTTTCACACTTTATGTTCAAGAACTCTGAACTGAACTGCTTGCTCTTTCCTGCACAAATCACACGATAACTTATTTCTAAGCCTCTCCTAATGCTGTCTCTCTACCAAAAACTTCCCATCTCTGCCCTGACTGGCCCAATTCTTCCCATCTTCTAAGACACAGCTCAGATGGCATCTACTTCAATAAATCTTAAATGATCACCCCAACTCCTCATCTCTGTTAAGTTACTCTTCTTCTGATTTTTGTATATTCCTATGCTTACTTACGTCATGCACTGTGTTGTTTTGTAGTTAATCTATTTATCTTCCTTTCAAACTGACTTCTAGAAGGCAGGTGTTATGAGATATTCGTCCTTTTCCTTTGGTGCTTGTCTGACACATAAGATTGTTCTATAGATATTTGATGATTGAATAAACAGATGAACAAACTACAGAGAATGTTAATGCTGTAAAGTGAAGACTCAGAGAGTACATGATAGAAGTCCGCAGTGTGTTAAGGAATGTCACGTGGAAGTAGCAGCCATTTTGTTCCGTGTGGCAACAAGAGTCAAAAACAAAATTCTCAGGTATACAAAGTATGGCTCAGCTGAAGGAGGAAGGGTAAGGCAGAGCTTTCCAAGTTGGGGATGGGCTGCTTTGAGAAGAAGGAAACGCCCTTCACTCAAGGGGCTCCTGGCTCATCACTGGACATGAGAGACACAAGCATCCATTGAGATGTTAAACTTGGCTAACTTTAAAGGATTCTTCTGGGACTCTGTCTTGCTGTGTAGGAAAAGTGCTCTCACCAAAAGAGAAAAAGAAATGCTTTAGGGACTTTTAGTGGGAAAAGTAGACCACTGTTGCAGTATTAAAAAGAAAAAAAAATCCACGAATCAACAGATATTGGAAGTAACAGCTTTGATGACAACCTATAAATATTTAACCATTGTTTTTAGAATTGACTTTAATATGGAGAACATAGTGGCTCCACCATTTCCTAATATAGTTTTCCCTGTCCCCAAACCCCCTCTGAGAAAAGGAGTGAATGGGTCAGGGAGTCCACGATAGAAATAGGTAGAGATGAAATGTAACTGCATCTATGTTTCCATCCCAAAGATTTCCAAAATCTTTTGTGTTTCAATTAAAACTAGTCTGTCAGCTGGGCTTCGCCTATTTACTGTGGCTCTTTAGAAGAGGCTTATCTGAATTCAGCTAAGGAAATGATTTAAAGCGCTTTCCCATCTCCTTTTACCGTTCTCCCAGCCTTCCCTTTCAGGCCTTTGCTGTCAGCCAGCAACATTCAGTGGAGAAAGGGAAAGATAAAAAGCAGCAGCAAAATTGCTGCCTGCTGCTCTCCATGGCTGAATTACTCCAGTCCCCTGAGAATCATCTCAGAGCCTGCCAGCTGCTGGGGCAGATCCCAGCTCCTTTCTCCTCTGAGCAGCAATCTCTTCATGTGAACAGGCAGACCCTTGGCTGACACTCTCGGATCCTGAAAACTGTGACTAATTAACCAAGTGTTGATCCTTGACTTAGTCAATGAAAACTGTGAAGTGCCATGCTGGCGAGGGCAGCCCCTGCACAGAGTTCTGGGTGGGCTGCTGTGTTCTTGCAGATGGGTGGATTCCACAACTGATGAATGTGACTGGCATGGACCAGTCTTTCCCCTGCTTCCCAATGCTCCACATTTGGTGACACTCCCCCAGAAGCATAAACTCATTGCCTAGTAGTTTCACGTACTATACAACATCTACACTCAGAAAAAAAAATAGCAAAAAGGCAAGACACTTTACCATGTAATTGATGGTTATGAATATTATAAATGCAATGTCCATAGGAGAGCTCCACTTTTTTTCAAAGTTTATTCTCCAAATGAAAATTATCCCCAAAATGGGGTTAAAAAAACAAACAAAAAAAAAAAAAAAACAGGAAAATTAACAGTGACATAACATGCATTTATATAATGTTCTATTGACAAAGCATTTCTTAATTTTTAGAATTTAAGTTCCCACTTTAAAATAGTGTTTGACCTAGTAACTCAATTCTAGGAATTTATTCTAAAGAAATACTCAGAGATGTAGGCTAAGATTGGTGTTCAAGGCTTTGTTGCAGCATTATTTTTCTGATGAAACACACACACACAATTGGAAAC